TGCAACATGTGATTCGTGTATTGGTTGGTGTAACACGTGATTCCTGTATTGGGTGGGGTAACACTCGATTCCTGTATTGGGTGGTGTAACACGTAATTCGTGTATTGGTTGGTGTAACACGTGATTCCTGTATTGGGTGGTGTAACACTCGATTCCTGTATTGGGTGGTGTAACACGTAATTCGTGTATTGGTTGGTGTAACACGTGATTCGTGTATTGGTTGGTATAACACTCGATTCGTGTATTGTGTGGTGTAACACGTGATTCCTGGATTGGGTGGTGTAACACGTGATTCGTGTATTGGTTGGTGTAACACGTTATTCGTTTATTGGTTGGTATAACACTCGATTCGTGTATTGGGTGGGGTAACACGTGATTCCTGTATTGGGTGGCGTAACATGTGATTCGTGTATTGGTTGGGGTAACACGTGATTCCTGTATTGGGTGGCGTAACATGTGATTCGTGTATTGGTTGGTGTACCACGTGATTCCTGTATTGGTTGGTGTAAACGTGATTCCTGTATTGGGTGGTGTAACACGTGATTCCTGTATTGGGTGGTGTAACACTCGATTCCTGTATTTGGTGGTGTAACACGTAATTCGTGTATTGGTTGGTGTAACACGTGATTCGTGTATTGGTTAGTATAACACTCGATTCGTGTATTGTGTGGTGTAACACGTGATTCCTGTATTGGGTGGTGTAACACGTGATTCCTGTATTAGGTGGCGTGACATTTGTTTTCTGTACGGGGTACAGGCGTCGGTATAACAGTATTATTCACTACCTTTTCGTCGCGTGATGTAGAAACATATTGGTAGTGAGCTAGTTTACAACATACAGCCTTGTTCTACAGGTAAAACCGGACGTTATCTTTTAGCAAGATTATACCTCAAAAATTGTAGGTTTTGAATAAAAACTTTTTTTTTATTGTCGAATGCTACTCAACCTGTAAAAAAAAAACTTGTAACCATACGATTTTATTGAGAAGTTATCAGAATTTGATAAAATAAAGGATGCTTAACCTAAAACTAAATGCTGTTAAATTATTACACATGTACATTTTTTACCATCAGGTTGTGTTGACTTGTTAAATCCAACAGTCTCTCAAAGGACCAGAGTTTAGTGTACACAGATGTACTGTGGCACAATTGTTACAATCAGGGTTTCCACAATGCACTATGAGTTGCATTCTGAATACAGTAGATGTGTGTCTTTCTATCACACTGTGACCGCGGTCGATATGGTAAGGAGATTTGGAAACTGATTGTTTCCTATTATGTTACGACCTTCTTATTTCAGTGACCATTTTCTTTATAAATTAGTTAACACCACGGTTAGCGCTGGTGGTGAAAATAGAGTGAGGAAAACAACGCGTGTCTACACCCAGAACGATTCAACAGTCGCGGTAGATGTTCTTCAAGTTTGAGAGTTAAAATGTTTCTTCAAAATCATCTCAACATACAAAAATTGTCATATGAGAGTCTTAACAGTCCATCAACACAATAATATCATACAGGATATATCGGTAGTCTTATGGGCATATCAACACAATAAGGTCATACAGGGTCATTCGGTAGTCTTATGGGCATATCAACACAATTAGGTCATACAGGGTCTATCGGTAGTCTTATGTGCATATCAACACAATAAGGTCATACAGGGTCAATCGGTAGTCTTATGGGCATATCAACACAATAATATCATACAGGATATATCGGTAGTCTTATGGGCATATCAACACAATAAGGTCATACAGGGTCAATCGGTAGTCTTATGGGCATATCAACACAATAAGGTTACACAGGGTCAATCGGTAGTTTTAACGGCCAACCATCACAATAAGGTCACACAGGCCGGTCACACAGTAGTCTTAATATCCCATAAACTCAATAAGGTCATACAGTGCTAATCGGTAGTCTTAACGGCCCATCATTCATAAACGGAAATAGGAAGTACATCCCTAGTTGGAAATCCAATGTAGGTAGACAGTATCACAATTTCCGCATATTCTAATCAGCCTAGAGTTGTGATGAAATTGGATGTTTATTATTGACAGAACAATGAGTTCTCTCAATATTAAAGTATTTCAAAGCAAGCCAGGCACTAATTTCAGTTTTTTTTTATCAATGCGTCACATGTTTCCATTTTCTGTACTTCAGGAAACCGGCTACCTATTTCACTACTGTGAATATTTTAAGGAAAGATAACTCTTACATGCAATTACTATGTGTATATGGTTTTATTATAAAATGTCAATTTTTAATCGTTTATAGATAATTCATTTTACACAATTTCAGCATTTATTAAATTGATATACATTAATGCAATACTAATCTATGGCAGTATCATTTTTATTGACATTATTTTGCAAAAAATTGTGTCTCTTTTTTTTCTTCAAAATTCACTCTTTTTTACATAAATTTCCATTTAAAATCCTTCAAATTCTGACAACCTAAATTTATTTGGTGGCAGAAAATTTTCTTCACTTCAAAGCAATATAACTACGAAATTTGAAGAAATTCTACTGAGAAATGGTGACACAAACCTATTACCTTAAGGTCTGACAGGGTCTATCGGTAGTCTTAACGGTCCATCAACACATTACTATCATACAGGGCCACACAGTAGTCTTAACGACCCATCAACACATTACTATCATACAGGGCCCCACAGTAGTTTTAACGACCCATCAACACATTACTATCGTACAGGGCCACCCAGTAGTCATAACGGCCCATCAACACATTTCTCCCCTACAGGGCCACCCAGTAGTCATAACGGCCCATCAACACATTTCTCCCCTACAGGGCCACCCAGTAGTCATAACGGCCCATCAACACATTTCTCCCCTACAGGGCCACCCAGTAGTCATAACGGCCCATCAACACATTTCTCCCCTACAGGGCCACCCAGTAGTCATAACGGCCCATCAACACATTACTATCATACAGGGCCACACAGTAGTTTTAACGACCCATCAACACATTACTATCATACAAGGCCACACAGGAGTCTTAACGGCCCATCAACACATTACTATCATACAAGGCCACACAGTAGTCTTAACGGCTCATCAACACATTACTATCATACAGTGCCACACAGTAGTCTTAACGGCCCATCAACACATTACTATCATACAGGGTCACACAGTAGTTTTAACGGCCCATAAACACATTACTACCATACAAGGCCACACAGTAGTCATAACGGCCCATCAACACATTACTATCATACAGGGCCACACAGTAGTTTTAACGGCCCATCAACACATTACTATCATACAGGGCCACACAGTAGTTTTAACGGCCCATCAACACATTACTATCATACAGGGCCACACAGTAGTTTTAACGACCCATCAACACATTACTATCATACAAGGCCACACAGTAGTCTTAACGGCCCATCAACACATTACTACCATACAAGGCCACACAGTAGTCTTAACGGCCCACCAACACATTACTACCATACAGGGCCACACAGTAGTCATAAAGGCCCATCAACACATTACTATCATACAGGGACACACAGTAGTCATAACGGCCCATCAACACATTACTATCATCCAGGGTCACACAGTAGTTTTAACGGCCCATAAACACATTACTACCATACAAGGCCACACAGTAGCCATAACGGCCCATCAACACATTACTATCATCCAGGGTCACACAGTAGTTTTAACGGCCCATAAACACATTACTACCATACAAGGCCACACAGGAGTCTTAACGGCCCACCAACACATTACTACCATACAGGGCCACTCAGTAGTCATAACGGCCCATCAACACATTACTATCATACAGGGCCACACAGTAGTCTTAACGGCCTGTCAAATCAATATACATGGTCAATCGGGAGTGTTTACGGTTCAACATCACAACAAAATCATATATGGCCACGTTGGAGTCCTAAAGGCACATCAACACCATAAGGTCATACAGGGTCACACGTAATCTTAACGGACACACATCACAATGACATAAGATCATACAGGGTTACGAGGTAGTCTTAACGATTCAGTAACACAATAAGGTCATACAGGGTCACACTGTATTTATAACGGTTAAACAACATTCTAAAGTCATACAGACACATACGGTTGTTCTAAAAGCAGGTCAACACAATAAGGTCACACAGGGTTAATCGTTAGTTTTAACAGTTTAACCTCCAGAAAAGATCCTCCAAGGTCATATGGTAGTCTTCACTGCCCATCATCAGAATAAGGTCATACAGGTTCCAACTGTAGTTAAACAGACTGGTCAGTTCTGCAGTGGGATAAAGGGACATAACTCAGACTCAGTTTCCCTGAGCTACAGCTGAAACGTTGAACTGACCAGACCAATATATATGTATATACAATATAGGAGTCGATAGCTAATCATATATGTCCACCGATTCCTATATTAGCCACCAAGAACGCGTAAAGCGGCATTTGTCCTTAAAATTGCAAATTCCCCACTAATATAATCGTATTCGCTTTCGTTTTTAACGCCGAACTGTCTTGCTGACCCATATTAATATCTTTTTATTTTTAAATAAGTTTGGTCACCAAAACGCTTAATGTGGTAAATGCTTATACAAAATGATTCAAACACAACATGGCACATACATGTTATGACTGTGGAGAACATCTATGGCGGAAAGGATGCAACCCGTTCAGTATTTTTTTTTTTTTTTTTATGCATTTAGGTTTTTGTTTTTGTAACCTATTTAAAGAAAAACTTTCAAAACAACAATGTCAAGTTTTTTTTTTATCAGACACGTTTTAATATATTTTTTTTAAGTAATATCAAACACGCATCTTAATTGCAGTCTTTTGTTAATATTTTTTGGGATTAAAGACACGAAAAGAGTTCAATTTTGCCGAAAACGACACTGTAAAGATAAGTAAATAAAAAGTAAAAATAAATAAAAATCTTGTGATTTTGTCATCAAAATAAGGGGACACTTACGGTAATGCTGTATGGATACACCCTATCTATTTACTAGTAGATGTCAGTGTATCAACATATACGTATATAACAATACTAGTGGATCCACTGGAGCGTGACGATCGATAGGCTACGTCACTGACCGTCGGGTTGCAGTGACAGGCTTAAGAGGGGAGTCGACATCAGTCGTTACACCCTGCGAGCTGAAAACATCGAGATGGAACTCTTTGGTGTGGAGATACGAATAGTTTTTCGGATTCTACTCTTCTCATTTCTTGTACAAGGTAGGTGTGTGTGCTTGTGATGTGTGTACGTGTGTGGTGGACAGATACTATGCCAATACACAAATTATATCCGCATTAGTATCCGTTTGAGAAAATCAAACACAGGGACATAACACTGTCTCTTAATATCTGTTTGATAAACCCCTTTTATGTAATAATTCACTGTACACTAATTTGTACTGGTAACGTCGGATACATCAGTGTATCGGGGATCTCCATCACACACCCAACTCCAAGTGTTGGTGTTTCTTAAAACCATGTACATTTAATTTTCTTACTTTAAACATCCTTATCACATCTAAAACATCCCTACAATTTTTTCCTAATCCCGCCCCAACCGATCTCTCTCTAAAATAATATGTTTCAATGAGTACGTGTTGGTCATGCAACCGAATGTATTACATCATCTTAATTTTAAAGGAAATGGGGCAGGATGTGGGTGGGGATGGTATTGATTTTCTGTTAACATCGACTCAACCCATCTCCGTCCCCGTTCCTATATGTTCCCTTGGTTAAGTGGCTGTGCCGCTCGGATGTGTACTAAAATTATGTCTATATTTTGTACGAAGTTAATGAATAATTAAACCATAGACCGATCATAATTACACAACATGCCAGTTGTAAAAAACAGCGTCACGGACTTGTGTCAAAATGATTAGCTTAATTTAATATCTTTTGTGACATCGACGAATTCCAAGTTTACGCACTGCAGGTTATCGTAAGCATCAACGTCCAAAATGGAAATTTAAATTAACTATTTATGCTTCCCAGTCTCACACGAGAAAATAAAATATTTATATCAGTGTACCGCCCAATCATATCTATGGAATGTATCAAACATTTTCTGTATTGTTGAACCTGCTATTACAAACACATGACGTTACCGACACCTGACAGTACTGACGCCTGACCTTGATAACCGACGACTGACGTTACTGACACTTGATGTTACTGAAACAAAACCTGACTTTACCGACACCTGACAGTTCTGACGCCTGACCGTGATAATTACCGAACCTGATGTTACCGACGCCTGACATTACCAACACTTGACGTTACTGAAACCTGACTTTACTGACACCTAGCTGACGGTATTGACCCCTGACATTACCGACCCTGATGTTACCGACGCCTGACGTTACCAACGCATAACGTACATGCAACATGAAACCTGACTTTAACGATACCTGACAGAACTGACGCCTGATCGTGATAATTTCCAATCCTGATGTTACCGACGCCTGACATTACTGACGCCTGATGTTACCGACGTCTGACGTTATCAACACCTGAGATTACTGAAACCTGACTTTACCGACAACTGACGGTACTGACACGTGAGTTTATCGACCTTGGCGTTACCAACACCCGAACCTTAGACATATCGTACGTGTTTGGCCTTTCTTTGACTGTAGACACGGTTTTCAAATAAAAGGATGCGAGTAAAGTAAGATCTCACTCACCAATGCTCGACGCGTGTATACCATTACACGAAAAACAGTATTTCACTTGATGATCTGCATTATCATGCTTGATGTTAATTCAATATTAACTGGTACAGTTTATAAAGTAACGATAACACTTGACCCATGGTCGTTAACTAAGTGTAGTGGTCTACACCCTATACTTGAGATAGAATGGGAGATAGACTCGTATCTGTTTCTAGTTTACATTGGTCGTATCATCTGCTGGTCGTTTCTGACCAAAACATCTCTACTCGAAATTGCAGGGAGAGTTTTAGAGATAAATCTAATGGTTTAACAAAATACATCTGCCATTTTGGGGTAGACATTCTGTATATACGAGATACAACGTTTATTTTGAGTTTGTCGTTTGCTGTACGTTCTACTCATATTGATTGACCACTTTGAGAAAACAGTTACGAAATAAGATCTACCCTGATTTGTAATTTTGAGTATTTAAACCTTTCAACAGTCAATGTTTTTACGAAAATATTACGAAATCACTCATTTTGACTTAAAATTGAAGTCGTAGGTTGTTTATTTCATTATGTACGTGCAACGAGGCACGTGACCTCCGGTTGTACATGACCGACTAATATGAACATGAACGTCCTAGTGATATGATAATTATAACGACATCATGTATAGTTTGTTTATCTCGTCTGTTTATAAATAAACCTAGGGTATAGATTATGTGTGTTTATAGAAATACATACAACTTTAAGACAACTTCCGATAATGATGGATGTATACAAACTTTGGCCCGGGGCTCGGTCAGTAGCTGTAGCCAGTGGCTACTATCCAAGAAGATGTGTTTCTTGACCCCTTGCCCCAGACACCATGTAAATAGATGTGCTCAATGTATAATATACAAGTCTAGATCGTATTGCTGGTTGTGATTGGAGAGGTATGTCGCAGATATTTTCTTGTTTAAAGATAAAATTTTGTGACCTTCATATTATGAAGTATTTCGATTCGATTCAATATTTTATTGATATTTTATTAGTTACACTGTAACTTGAAGGTAAATAACAAAACAACCAACTTAAGAAACTTCAAAATTTTGAACAATATATAAACTTACACAGAAGCCAGACCTACTCTCCTCAGTTCAGGTGACTGTTTTATGAATATTGTCAGTAAAAAAATTGTATCAAAGTCTTTGTGTTTAGCATAAACCCCTCTTTGTTTAAGTAGTCTTTTCTCAGGTGTGCATTATTCCTTCTTTGCGTATTGCAGAGTTATCTTCTCTTGTGAGCAGGTATTGATTGTTACGTCATTGGTTTCTGTGGTCGTTTTCTCAAAAATTGATGACGTTACTCTCACAAACTAATGACGTAACAATCAATACTTGCCCATAAGAGAAGATAACTCTGCAATACGCAAAGACGGAATAGCTTAATCTGAAGAAGAAATGTTTCCCATCTTCTAGAACAAGACATGTTATATACATATACTCTTTGGGTTTTCCTTAATCATCCTATAGCTAGTTCAAGTTATGCTCATACAATCTGAATTTTGTATCTAACATTCGTAAATTCATTAGTAATAGATAGGTATTTTTCTAGAGAATAAGTTTTCTTAATATCTTTACATAAGAATAATTTATTTTTATCTGTCATCGATTGTTGTGTCATGAACAAATATTTTCATATTCATTAGAAATGCAGGTTTTATAATTTTGCCGTTTACACATGACACTTTCTAGTTATTCAGAGTTACCTAAGTTTTATCAATAATTTGATTCTTACATTACGAGTCAGTTATCAATGTAACTGAATATGTGCCATTCACAAAGTCATTCTAAAGAAATAATTAGTTCGGAACTCTTTTGTTCAGGTTTGATAATCTCGTGTCATATCCCGTCAGGTGTAAAACTACAGTATAAGTAGTTGTTAATGGCAATGGGGAAAAAAACATAAGTGGAACACCTTACACAGATAAACTGTCCCAGACGAAGACCGTTTGAAACAAAGTATTGTGTTCAGAAAAGACAAGTTTTATTGTTGTACAAGTTCAGTATTTTAAGATAAAATTGCAATAGAGTCTCTCAGGCGGAAATAGCAGATTTCCCTTGCAGATTGTTGGGGGTTTGCTCTGCGTCTTCTGAAAAGAGGAAATCACAGAATAAAAGATATGTTTCATCAACTGTTTGGATCTATATAATACTATTCCTTCTGTTCAGCTAGTAAGAATTCTTTAAACCAGTCGATTTGATAAGTATTGCCATTTTCGGTGATTTTTGCTAAAACCATTTCAATAACAAAAAAATGTTGCTATTCTTTGATACATATCTGTGTACTTTCAACATCACTGTGTATAAAATCTTATCATAATAATTGCATGACGTCACATACATCAAACATGTAATGTAACAATTCAATAACTCCGATCTGAACACAGACATGAAATTAGAGTTTTTATTTCGTGAAATAACCACTTGTATTTGATTTGGGAGAAAAATAATCATTCTCCACTTTAGGAGTAAGGCAGCAAAAAATCTCAACCCCGGGGGTAAGATTATTAAAAGTCTTGCCCGAATCTGTGCCGAGGGGCAGACATTTAAGATGACAAACACAAAAATCTTTAAAACTACCTCCTGATACTCATTTTTAGCATTTGTCAATACTTGATACGTTAACAATATGTAAATACGGTTAAAATAGGCCGTGTGTTCGATCGGCGACCTTACACTCTGAACAATGAAAACACGATCTTGAAATTAAAAGCGGCGATGGCGCATTTCTTTGAGGATGAACCTATGTAAATTTGTATCTAAACACGGTGAAAGTGGACCCACTGTTCGATCGACGACCTTAGGTTTTGAAGAAATGAAAACATGCGTTTGAAATTAAAAATGGCCGTGGCGTATTTGTTTAAGGATGTAATTGTATGTTATTTTGAACTATAAACGCTTTGACAATCATATTGACATGTCATTACTTAGCTTTAAAGACCTTCAAATGGGTTTGTAGCCTTGATTCTGTACATTATACAGATTTGTATAAGTATATAAAACGTAATAAGTACAAAAGATGTACAAATGTACCATACCCAGTAGTGTTACTGGGTCTCGGAACTCGCCGTATGGTATCTGTTATTAATTTTAATAATATTCAATTATAGCCTTAGGCTGAGGTCGATACCTGGATTTATCGACCCGAGAAGAGATATATTGACCGAGGACGCTAATATTTATTATAATTCTCCTCTCTGATACCGTATCTGACAAGCGTATATTGTAAGCGCCCTGTGCAGCTTCAGGAAAAGAACAGGCTTGTTGTCTTCCATTACATGTCGTAGGAAGCGACTAATGTGAGGCACTGCTGAAGCAGGTCTTTTCTTTGTTGTCCTCTGGTTAGGGTTAGTTTGTGTTTTACGTCCTATTAACAGTTGTGGTCTTTTAAGGACGGGCCAGATTTTGGTAGTGGGGGAAAGCCGGAGTTCCCGGAGAAAAGCCACCGACCTACAGCCAGTACCTGGCGACTGCCCCACGTGAGTCTCGAACCCGCAACCCAGTGGTGGAGGGCTAGTGGT